CCCCCATCACAGACGCAGTGACCTTCCATGGATCCCCCACTGCCCCATTACAGACGCAGTGACCTTCCATGGATCCCCCACTGCCCCATTACAGACGCAGTGACCTTCCATGGATCCCCCACTGCCCCATTACAGACACAGTGACCTTCCATGGATCCCCCACTGCCCCATCACAGATGCAGTGACCTTCCATGGATCCCCCACTGCCCCCATCGCAGACGCAGTGACCTTCCATGTGTTCTTTTTCTTTCCTTTTTTTTTGTTGTTTGTTTGTTTGTTTGTTTTCCAAGACAGGGTTTCTCTGTAGCTTTGGTGCCAGTCCTGGAATTAGCCCAGGCTGGGCTCAAACTCGCAGAGATCCACCTGTCTCTGTCTCCCAAGTGCTGGGACTAAAGACATGCGCCACCACCACCTGGATACTCACAATGCTTTCTAAAAACTGTTCATGGATGATCAAAGAGGTGACGCAGCAGATGGGCATTGTCTAGAATCACTCCCAACCTGCCCAGTGAAGACATAGATAGCTATTGTCCAGTCTTGGTGTGATGGGAAAGTCAGGGCTTATTGTAGTCCTGGCTGGAGATGTGAGGCTGGACCATCTCAGCTAACCATCTTAAACTTGTCCTGAACAGTTTATAGTTCAAAGTTGATCTTTCAGCAGTGTTTGTTAGCTTAATGGCTTTGCCACAATCCAGGCGGAATCATCATACTTTTGGAGACTTCACAGGTCATTGTTTGGAATGGTCACAGTTCACTGCAGAAGACAAACATTTTCAATGCCATATGCTCAAATCTTGGGGAGGTTAAAGGACCACAATCTATTAAATACATATGGGGTGTACAAATTTAGTCTCTAGTTACCTGATTTAGACTTAAGCCCAAAATCATGTGCAGGAAGCTAGGTGAAACTTATTTCTAGAATTAGTTAGTACTCTACATAACCATTAATGTCACAACAAAACATACACACACACACATATTAGTTTTATAAATTCTGAGATAATATTTATACATTAATAAAAATTTTAAATAAAATCAAAATAAAACCAAAGGATTATGAGATTAGCAGCAGTAAAATAATCCTTTAATTTTGGTTTTTCTTCTGTCCCATACTAGATGGTTCTTCTGACATGAGACAGAGATGTTGGATTTTCCTTTAATAAACATGCCTTAGTTTTGAGAAGGAGAGAGCCATGCTCCAATTCCAAAGCCAGCTTTAATTTTTAATTAAATTGGGACCCCCCCCAAAAAGGATCATTTTTTAAATGATGCCTGTAGAGAACAGTGAAAACAAACATTCTGGAAGATTCTTGCGATTATATCCTGTTGGAAATATGCTTTACCATTAGACTAATTTACTCTTTTTCTTGGGACTTTTTTTTTTGTTTGTTTGTTTTTTGTTTTTTCGAGACAGGGTTTCTCTGTGGCTTTGGAGCCTGTCCTGGAACTAGCTCTTGTAGACCAGGCTGGTCTCAAACTCACAGAGATCCGCCTACCTCTGCCTCCCGAGTGCTGGGATTAAAGGCGTGCGCCACCATCGCCCGCCCGGCTTCTTGGAACATTTTCTATGCATGATTTGCTTTGCTGCTTCCAATGTCTTATTTGTCCAGTGGTCTTCAGATGCCTCAGTTGGATGCTTTTATTCTCCTGGGAAGACAAAAACAAATCCCTGCCCTAAACCTTTTTGGCAGGTTATATCTGATCAAATGAAAGGCCTTTGTTAGTCTTATAAGTTAATTTAGATTGAATGGTCACACTGTTTGATGAACTATCACCTCTCCTAGTCAAGAGATCTCTCCTAATCTTTATCAATTTTGATGATATTCATAACTTTTCTTCTCCTGTGGAAACAAAAGCAAAACCTCTTCCCCAATGTAGCACATATTCTGGTTTCCATTCTGCAGCCAACGCATCTTTAAACTATACAGGCTGATTTAGTTTAGCAGATTTTCCTACTATCTAATGTCTCTCTACAGCTGTCATTCCTTTCTCATTAACATTTAAAAATTTAAAGTTAATAAAAAATTGTGTAATCTATCTTTGGCGGTCTTTATAATCCCTTTATGCTTATTATACATATCTTTTAAAGTGTGGTTAGATCTTTCTATAACTGCTTATCCTGTAGGATTGTATGGTTTACCTGTAATATGCTTTATGCTGTAATATGCAAAAAACTGCTCTTTTTTACTAGAGACATAAATTGAAGCATTGTCAGTCTTAACTTGTACAGTTATCCCCATGATGACCGTAACTTCTAATAAATGTGTAATTACAGAATTAGCTTTTCAGAACTCAAGCAGTTTCCCACTGAAATCCTGAATCAATATCAGTGGTATTGTGCACATACTTTAGTTTTCCAAACTCTGCACAATGAAACATACCCATTTGTCAAATTTTGTTTATTTGAGTACTCTTTGGGTTACTTCCTGCACATAATGGAGTTTGTTTATACTAAGAACAAGTAGGACATTTCCTTGGTTTGTTGCCAAATGATAGAAAAAAAATCTTCCTTCAAACCTGTAAGCAGAGACTATTCATTCATTTCTGAGGCACCCAGACTCGAATAACCACACAAAACTATATTAATTCCAACACTGTTTGGCTTATTATCTCAGGCTTCTTATTAACTAACTCTTACATCTTAAATTAACCCATTTCTATTAATGTGTGTATTGCCACGAAGTTGTGGACTACGAGGAAGATTCCGGTGTGTTCTTCTCCTTTGGCAGCTACATGGCATCTCCTGGATTCCACCTACTCTCTCTCCAAATCTCCTCCAGGCTGGCTATAATCTGCCTTGCCATAGGCCAAAGCAGTTTTATTCATTAACCAATAAAAGCAACATATATGCAGAAAGACATTCCACATCAC